CTTCACAGGGGTAGCCTGGGGACCCAGTGCGGTGCACTAAATTTACTGTCCCTCAGCCACCACACACTAAAACTGGCCTAAAGTAAGAAGTGCTCTGGACAGGACAGCCTGAAGTTGGAGGATGCTGACACCGTGACCTCAGCTGTTTTGACCCTTGTCGGAGATCTGCTGCAGTTACCCTTAACTCTTTGCTAAAACTTGAAACTATAATCACAAACTTTTTTCTAGTGGTGTCACCAAAATTAGACTAAGGCAGCCATTTTTAAAACCTAATGCCGTCAATGCTGTGTGGTCTTTGATAAAAGTACAGTATGCTGTGTGGTGTGACCTAACGTCGGAGCCTTTACATCAGCTGCCTGTCTGACACTGTATTTTCTCCGGTGGGAAAAATCCAGAAGAGATTTCACCTAATAAGACTCTCACTATGTCGATTATTGTTTTTCAGCTGCATTTTTCTTTCTTTCCTCTCTGCAAGATTAAATATTATAAAACAAAATTTAAAAAAGCAAATGAAACAAAAGGCACCTTCTAGGACATTGAATTCATAAAGATATTAAAACAGGAAATTTGATGTCTGGTAAGAGTTTACATTTGTTATGTGTGTTTGTTAATGCAACTGGATTGTTTGAAGTTGAGTGTACTTGGTATTCTCATATGTATATAGCAATATTAAAAACACAGTCACCTCTGACTTCTATGCTAGGGAGGGTTTTTTTAATATTTAGGTTATTAAAATCCATATTGGTTAAAAGTCACAGTTTCCACTGAATAGTATTTTTAATTTACAGAGGGTTTGCTCCCCTGTGGGCTCCATTCTGAGGCTTGAGTTTAATGAAGGATATCTTCTAATTAAAACCATTGTATAAGAGTAGAGATCCACACTGTCTAGAGAGATAATATTGACCAGTTGTCTACATGCAAAGATGGTATTTTCTACTCTTTAGAAAGTTAACTTACAAAAGGGCTTATTTTCCTAAATCTACTGTTTCTTTTCCCTGTGGATAAAGATCACACTATTTGGTAGGCTGTTGATAATTTCAGGAAGCTAATTCATTCAAATCAGAGCTGATACTGTGATCCCTGTATTTCCAGCTCACAGCTCAGGCTTTCGGCTGTCATTGAATTACAAACTGTAATGTAGTGTGACTCCATCCCTGGGACTGAGTAAGGAGGTCTGGGAGTTGTTGATGAAGACTTTACTTCCCAGGATGCCATCTAACCGAAAGGAGCAGGCAGAGCTCAGCTTCAGGGATCCAGTAGATTGAGTAGGTAAACAATGCTTAGGAGAGATGACTTCACAACTCAGAACCATAAACATGCAGATAGCCACACCGTGTGGAAGAGTAACCACCGGAAGATGGTTACTCGACAGCTGTTTCAAAGCTTTATTGCCATGTTCTGGCCTGGAGACCCCTTCCAAACTAGTGTGAGATGCAGTGCAGTTAGCCATGGAGGGAGCAGGCCTCTTCAACCCAGACACATGGCTGCGGGAGCCAGGTGAAGAGCTAGCTGAGCTGTGCGCATCCCTGAGGCTCCTGCCCTGAGCAGGGGTGGGGAGGTGGTGTAAGCCTTGCTAAGCTCTCTATTTTCAAAATTTGATAGCCAATTCCAGATTTTAGAAAATACTGGAGGCCACTTAGGCCCTCTACCCACTCATCTGCTGCTGCCTTTGACATCAGGATTGATAAAACTGCCATGTAGGAGACAGCACAGTGCTAAACCCAAGCTGAACTCGGCACGCAGCTCTAGGGTCACCTCCAGCTGGAGTGTTCCCACAGACTTGAAAGTGGATTCTCCTTCCTCTGGCAAGAGAAAATGTCTATACTGTCTTTTAAAAAGGTGATATGAGCATGCTGTCAAGGCTGCATAACTTATTAGTTAATATTAATAAAAAGAATTTTCATCTTATGTGTGCCTCATTCATTTCTTGCCATGTTTCTGAAAAATAGCTACTGATGTGGAAGGGCATCATAATTATTGCTATTTACATAGCAAGAGACAAAAAAAAAGTCTTACAGGAGACACTGTTGCCTAGCTTCTAGCCTGGGGTTATTTGAGAGTATATGGACCCAGGTGACCCAGTGAGCCCAGGGTTTATTGGGAACTGGCCTAATCTTCAGTTTTCTCACAGGTTCTAATGTATCTACACTTTAGATTCCCAGAAGCACTCTGTGGAGTCAGATCCTTTGGCCATCTTGGGATCTCTCAGTCTTAATATCTGCTGTCCCCAAGGACAGGTCTTCTTATATCCAATGTTCTCAACCTGTGGGTTCTGACCTGGGAGTCCATCGACCTTTTCACAGGCGTCTCCTAAGACCATCTGCATATCAGACATTTACAATTCATAACAGTAGCAAAATTACAGTTATGAAGTAGTAACAAAATGATTTTTTGGTTGGGGATCACCACAGCATGAAAAACTGTATTAAAGGGCTGTAGCCTTGGGAAGGTTGAGAACCACTGTCTCAGGACAAAACTCAGCCTCTGCCAGCTGAAGTCGCCCGGGTGGTGTGAATCACATGCAGTCTATGAATAGAGTGCTTTGCTGTGCGTGTTTTCCAGTTCCTGGAAGCAGTGTGGCAAGGCCTGCTTTGATTTGCTCCAGTCAGAGGAAAGGCGGCTGGGGGAGGATGGGAAGTGAGTTCCTCTTCCAGTGAGAGGGATTGGCACCCACAGGAGGACTGTGCAGGCAGAGGGAGGTGTGGTCAAGTCTCAGGCCACAGCCTTTGTCTGGTCGACTGCGTGTTTTGAGGAAGTCTCAGGAGGACTTGTGTTCATAAAATAACCCCAGGCTAGAAGCTAGGCAACAGTGTCTCCTGTGGCCCTCCCCCACCACTGGAGAGGCCACAGCATCCTAAGAGTCTTGTGGCACACAGACAACCAAGACAGGAATAGGTCTTACTGAAATCCTCTGGTGGTTTTTGTCTTTGTTTTGGAGGGGGGGTATGGAGGGTGGGGGTGGGGCAGGATTCACTTTGTAGCCCTAGCTGGCTTGAACCTCACAATGTAGACCAAGCAGCTTCAAACTCAGATCTCGCAGCTTATGCTTCCCTGGCGCTGGAATTAAAGGGGTGCCTCACTGCATCTAGCATGTTCTGTTTCACTGGTGCTTCAGGCAAATCTTACTTAAAAGCCTCACAAATAAGGATTTCCCTGGTCCACCGCCTTCATCAGGACTGGCTCATGGAACTTGTTTGTAACAGAGGCAAGCTACTGAAGCTACTCTCTGCTCTAACCCCTGCCTTTGGCTTTGTGTTATTAAAAATCTTCATTTTGGGCAACCATAGACTCCTTTTTGTACATCGACACCTTTTTCCTCACTTCTTTTAACATGACTCAAATGCTTTATATCTCGTCCTCTCTGCAGTATATGAAATAAAATTCTTTGTCATACTGTAAAATAAGGTCTGGTTATATAACATATGAATACTAATTATTGTCTTAGCAGAGAACCAAAATAACTATGGATAACATGGCCTGAGAGATTTATTGTAGGGTTAGACGTCATAGGTAATATGAGGGTGATAAACTTTAGGGCAGGCTGATGCATCTGGCCCTGACAGGGGGTCCAAAGCCATTGTCAGTCAGTGAGGCTGGCAGATGGCCAAAAGGCCTGGGTTTGGAGCAGAGGAGATTCAGGACGAGCTGCAGATCAGGAAGGCAAACTAGAGTTTGCATCTGTCGTGTAGGTGACGTGAAAACGAAGCTGGCACCCTCCCCATGGACTCTCCTGTGCTTCCAGCCCAGGACTAGAGGGTAACAAAGGAGGTGGTCCACTGAGGCCTGGAGAGCCCAAGGCCAGTTGACAGCCAGCATGTGAGCCAAGAGACTAGCGTAAGCCATTGGGACACCTGTCACCTGCTCCTTCCAAACTAAGTGACCACTGCTTCGTGCCATCCATTATCCAAACTTTATGAAAATATCTCCTGTAAACAACCTTACAAACAAGGGAAATCTAGCAGGTGTTACTTCAGCTTGGCTAAATTCACATAACCCCAAATCATCACTCCCCTAGATTTCATGTCCACTAACAATGACTGA